TCCTCTCCAGGCCTCAGTGATATTGTTGTCCTACATTTAACATTGGCATACATTAAAAATCCCATACTATACTGTTTTGCTTCAATGGTCAATTGGCCTTTTTTAATTAAGTTTTTTTTATTTTAATTCCAGTATCATTAACAGACAGTATTTCATTAACAGCCAATTAGCTTTTAAAGAGATGAGATTTGCCACTTCCACTGCTCTTCATCCCTTGAGGTAGATCCCCATTTACATCTGGTGTCATTTCCTTCTGCCTAGAGGGCTTCCTTTTACATTCTCTGTGGTGCAAGTCTCATGATGAGTTCTTTCAGCTTTGGCAGGTCTGGAAAAGTCTTTATTTTGCATTCCTTTTTAAAATATCTATTTCTGGGAAAGTATATTTTTGCTGGAATGCCAGGATTTTCTTTTCTTCTTTTTTTAGCATTTTGAAGATGTTGCCCCCCTGTCATGCTGTTTTCATTGTTTCCGGTAAGAAATCTGCTCTCTTGGGGCACCTGGGAAGCTCAGTCAGTTAAGTGTCTGACTCTTATTTCCAGCTCAGGTCATGATCCCTCGGTTCATCACATCGAGCCCCCATCAGGCTGCACACTGGCAGCGTGGAATCTGCTTGGGATTCTCTCTCCCCCCGCCCCTCTCTGCCTCTCTCCTGCTCATGCCTGCTCTATCATTCTCTCAAAATGAGTAAGTAAACTTAAAAAAAAAAAGTAATCTGCTGTCTTATTCTTCATGTGTGAGGCCTTTTCCACTGGCCATGTTTTCCCTTTCCACTGGTGTGCTTCAGTGTGGTTTTCCGCACACTTCCTGTGCTTGGGTTTCATCAAGATTCTTAGATCTGTGTGTTGATCCATTTCATAAAACTTATCACATTTTTATTTATGCTTTCTGTACTGCCTTCTCTCTCATCCTTCAGGAACCCAGTTATGTGTGTTGGACGGATAGGTTTGTCTAACAGCTCAATGATTTGCTGGGTTTTCTTTTTTTCAATTTCTTTTCTGTACCTTTCTTTCTTTCCTTTCTTTTCTTTCTTTCTTGAGGTGGGGGGTGAAGGACAGAGAGGGAGACAGAATCCGAAGCAGGCTCCACGCTCAGTGTGGAGCCTGACACAGGACTCGAACTCACTCGTGTTCAGGACTCGAACAGGACTCGTGAGATCATGACCTAAGCTGAAATCGAGAGTTGGACACTCAACTGACTGAGCCACCCAGGTGCCCCATTCTGTGTGTTTCATTTTGTATAGTTTCTCTTATTGTGTCTTTAAGTTCACTGATCTTTCTATCTTTCTTCTATTCTAGATCTTTCTATCCTGAGGTTGGTACCATCCAGTGTACGGTGTACCTAAAAATGCCTTTGTGTGAGCGACGGGCATGTTCCCTGACCCTTTCAGGCAGTTCTTGCCCAGCCTTGAGCAGCGTGTTGCCCCTAACGTTCAGGGGACCTTCTGCGCACTGGCCCGCAGACCCTGGCTGCCTTGTTTCCTATGCTCTCAGTTCAGGGAGTCTGCAGGCTCCACCCAGGCTCCTTCTCTTGCTGCTGCCTGGGTGCCTGGGCAGCTGCCTGGGGCACTGATGGGCTCACCTCATGTGTCTCCTGCCTCTCAGAAACCACTGTCCCTCCTTGCTTGATGTCCAGGCTCTTGAAGGATGGTTTTTGATGTATTTTGTCTGATTCATGATTTTGGGAAGGAGGGTAAGTCCAGCAGCTGTTACTCCATCCCACCCAGAAAGGAAAGTCTGAATTTATTTTTAAATCGCACAGTAAAACAGAAAGCCCATCCTTGAACCCTGGTCCCTCAGAGAGAGATGCCATCTAGACCTGACCGTGCACCTGCTCTTCCAAGCCTCCTGGGTCGTTGGGACTCGTGGGTCGGAGGCTGGACCTTCTTCGTGTCTTGGACTGGGTCCCCTGGACAGCAGAGACTGAGTGGGGAATGTAAGGTGCTGTACTTGGCAAGGGTGAACTCGGAGCCGCGGGGTAGATGGGAGGGAGGTGAGGAGAGGAAAGGTCTGACAGGAAGGTGGCTTTGGCGGTGGGAGAAACCGTCCCCACAAATCCGTGTCCACAGGGGGCTGCCCTCCCCACCCCGAGCCTCTTGGTTCCCCACCTGTGGCGTGGAGGTTGGTGTGCTCAGCTGTGTGGGAGTGTGGCCGCGGCACCTGCGGGGCGTGGGACACTCCAGGACAGTGGTGTCCCCAGGATGGTGGGCAGAGGGCTTGCATGTGCAGACTCACACCCTCGTGATGGAGGGGGTGTGGCCCGAGTGTCTGGTCCAGAAGGATCGTCCTGTGGACTCGTGCACCACGTCCACTCGGGCTTACTCGTCAGCCCCCTACCCCGCGTCTCCAGCCTTTTCACACACATGTCATGGTCTCAGCGAGGTCAGCTCTTAATGAAGATTTAAAGCCTTTAAAAGATACACGGAGGCCCTCTCTTCCTGATCCTTTTTGCTTTGGGAGCTGGAGCTGTGGACAGGCGGCGCGTGTCACTCCTGAGGCCCCCGGGCTGCGGGCCCTGGTCAGCCGTGGCGTCACTGGCACCTTGACCAGATCTCCATTGTTGTTCTTTGCTTATCAATGAGACACGGTTGTATCAAATTTTAACCCCAACTGTGAGTGATACCTCACCCTGATCCTCTAAAGTTGTGTTTAATCTCGGGGCACCTGGTGGTCTGTAGGTTAGGTGTCTGACTCTTGATTCAGGCTCAGGTCATGATCTTGTGGTTTGTGGGTTCGAGCCCCGCGTCGGGCTCTGTGCTGACAGCTCGGAGCCTGGAGCTGCTTCGGATTCCGTGTCTTCCTCGCTCTCCGCCCCTCCCCTGCTCATGCTCTGTCTCTCTCTCAAGATAATAAATAAAACGTTTTTTAAAAAATTCTCCTGACAAACGGGAGAAGAAACGTGGGCCATGTGTACCAGGGGCTGTGTGACGGTGTGAGCACCGCAGGGTTCCTCGCTATGAGCTTATCGAAGTGCTAGGCTCTGTAACGGTCCCAGCCAGTGGGACTGCTTTTTGGGAAACTGGTTTTGTTGAATTGGCTTGGAACTTCAGTTTGATTTTCCTGTGTTTTAGGTGGTTTCTTGGACTATGTGGTGAGTTTGCTCATTGATTAATAATTCCCTGCTTATTAACAGATGGCTAGAGGTATGTTTGTTTTATGGTTCACTCTAACATTTATACGTGAGTAATTAATGTAGAAAATGTTTTAGCCAACTTGACCTGGTTTGTCTGATGTTTTCCGTGTTTGTCTACAACACCACATACCATCCCCAGCCATCATACGCCTAGTGTCCGTCTGTCGGAAATACATACACGTTTCACCAAAACGTGTGGTCAGAAATGTTCATGCACACACTCTTCAAAATAGCCAAGAACTAGAAAAAAACACAAAATGAGTCAGCCCGCGGTGACACGCTCCCGCAGCAGGGTCCTGTGTGGCAGTGAGGCTGGGCGGGCTGCGGCTCTGCGGAAGGTGTGTGTGACCTCAAGTGTAAGGCACCAGGTGCAAGGGAAGCCGTTTGTATAAACAGCCCCGTGTGTGTAAAGCTCACAGCGGACACCACCACTCAGTGTGCTGGGGTCAGTGCGATGGCTGCCCGCGCCGGGGAGGGGTGGCGTGGAGGCTGGAGGGCTCTGGTGCTGGACCGGAAGTCAGGCCGTGGGTGTCCTCACTTTGTGAAATCACGAGGCTGCGTCCTTGTGATTTAATGCATCAGTGAAAACGCTTACGTAAAGCAGGATTCACTGCCCACATCTTGGAATGAGAGAGTGGTCAGCAGGTTAACAGGAAAGGCAGCATCCTGAATCCTTCCTCCCAACGAGCTCTCCCGCTGGGGGCTCTCAGGTACCACGGTTCTCAGGGACACGGTTCTCAGGGGTCGCCTGCCCCCTGCCACGGGGGGGTCGGCAGGTACTGCATGCGGGAGGAGCTGTTGGGGAGCACGGAGAGCATGAGCTGGCGCCCGTGGCTGGCCTTGCTGGTGAGGAGCTCCGAGGACAGGGCTGGGGCTCCCCTGTCCAGAGTGTGGGCACACAGGTGCCCAGCCTCCACCCCAGGTGCCCTCTGTCCTGCTCACAACGGCGTGGGCTTCCCAGGAAACACCGTGTTGTCCCTTTAAGCGAGTATCCCAGACATGCGTGATGTGTACGTGTGAGTTTTCACCCCACTTTGAGACAGGTGGCCGCTTTGTCTGTGATCTGGGGTCTCTTCCATCATGTGGCGTCAGGTCGCATCTTCCACGCTCCGAGCAGGCCTGGGGGCCAGCCTGTGGTCTCGCCGTAACATTCTGGTCAAGGGCAGCCGTGCTCACCCGGAGCAGAGGCAGAGCGCGGGCCCGAGGGTGGGAGCCCCATAGAGCCGGGTGGGCGCACCTGGTGGGCTGCTCCCTCTGTGCGCGTGTTCTGAAGACACAGCCAAGTCAGGGTGGCCGATCCCCGCCCCCAGGAATGGAGGGCGGGACTCGGTGCTGACGGGGTAGGTGTACACCCAGCCGCAGTTCTCTGAGTGTCTCGTGAGAATCTCTGGGGCCCAGGAAGTGAGACTCGGTTCTTTAGGACCATTTCAGTGTGGAAAGAAAACTATCTGCGCTTATCAAGTCAGGCTTCTTGTCTCTCGGGTGTGGTGCATGAACAGCCGGGCCCCTGGTGTGCAGGGCGTGAGCACCAGACCCGGTGTGGTGTGCAAGGCCCTGCCCTCGGGGCACACCCTCGCCCCACCTGAGTGAGCCCCGCAGGAGTCTCTTGTTTGGACCCCTAGCCCTGGATCCTGAGTGAGCTCAGACCTGCTGTGAGGCCTCACGGTTTTAGGCTTCTGTGGGACAAGTGCCTGCCCCCCCCCCCCCCCGCGCCCCCC